ACAACCACAATACGTCCTACTTTACTTAATACTCGTTGAAAAGAAAATTGGAGATATGTCAAAGATGCGGTAGGTAAATGTTCTCATTAAATAGCTTCTGTAGTGCCAACTTGTTAACCTTTGTATTTAGTGAATATGGGAAACGCCTGGAATTAGTAAGTAAAAAGCGGCAGTTGATGTTCTTCAGTGTTTAAACATTATAATAATATAGTTAAAAATAAAATCCTAGCAAATACTTTAGTTCGTGGGAAAGGGTAAGAAGAAACTAATTGGATTTCAAATGTGACGTCTGTGAAATACCCTTTCTTTGATATAAACATTGTAATGAAATAAAGACACCCAAACCTAAGTTAAGTCTGAATTCCATTTAGGTAAGTGCGAGAAAAAGATAAAACATCCATGGCTGATCATCAGCAGACAACGTTAATGAAAGGCGCCTGAAAAGATATCGGCTTATCTTAAGGGGAAGCAGCGCCAACAACCATCGTCTACGGTACAATTAAACAAAAAGAGTAATGCAGAAATTGGTTTCGACCTTTTCATCATTAAAGCTTCTTTGCGAAGGTATATACACAATTATATGTAATTGTTATATTTCTTTATGTGATATGAGGGTCGATATGTTATATTATGCTCATGAGAGTGCTTTGTGGTATTGTTTTCACTACTCGAGTTCTCTACGTAAGGACTTGACATTACTTGGATTAGACTTACATTGCCATGGTGGGTTTCAATGATGATGCAGAAGGCGTTTACTCTTCCGGAACACCTGGTCCTATTCTCCGTGTACTTATTTAAGGGTCCCCATGTTAATCTTTCATTTGTTCACATTTTGCCCTCGTTTTATCGATTTGGAGTTCGAGATGTGGTATTGTTAACACTTTGCTATTCTCTTTTGTTTGTTTTTAATTAAATGCTGATCCACCGAAGGAATATGCTGTAACTGAAGAAAATACATAATGTTCATGATTGCTCCTCTATGAACGTATACACATACATACATTTATATCTGCAAAAAGGAACAACGACCGCTATAAGTTCTATATGTCACTGGACTTAATAAATTATTGCGAAATATTTAAACTTCGATTACCTCCCCAGTAAAAGTAATGCCAACAATATATGCAGCAAGTGATTTAAAGTAACACAATCATAACAAGGGAGAATGTTTACGTTGTGATGACGATAGGTTAAAGAGATGTTGAAGTGATTGAAATAAACTTTTTTTTACATATTTACTTACTCCTATATGTTAACCGTTAAGCACTTGATTAAGTACATATATGTACTGCCTTGTAACTGATAAAGAATATGACAATACAAATGAAAAAGAAATCTTACTTTAGCGGGGCGTGCGACACAATATAAGATAAAACTGTGAAAGTTGATGAAATTTGTATACTCAGCGTTTCTGGCCATTTGTAATCTGCCAGCGTCCGCCTTCGTGAGGGGTCAGCAACCGCCAAATGTGCAGCGGGCGTGCACGTGATTGCCCCTCAACTGCCATTTTGTGGTTAGCCCCTCGCCTTCAGCTACACCTCCTCTCTTATACCTTTGCGTCATAGCCGATAACTGTAGGTCTTGGAACATTAAACGTTAATTGTGCATACAGGCAGAACACCTTACAGAAATGTTAAAATGGCGTTTTAATGCAATATCGACTGCTGGCTTCCTCCTGTGTCTGTTCAAGTAATGCAAGTGCAACAAACTTTTCAGATAAAGAAAAGTCATTTAGAAACATCAAACGACATTTTCATATAAAAAAAAATGTATATGTATTTGCTAGTCTTTTCTTTGTGCTTTATTGAATGTCTGCACTATTGGTTCATATGCTTCTTATGTTGGGTGATCTACGCTTTATCGAAATCAACATGATATTTTTGATAACTAATGATGTCTACAGTTTTGCAAAGTTTTGAAAAAAGCAAACCAAAACAAAAATTAATATAACAAACAAACAAAAAATAAATAAATAAATAAATTTAAATTACCCATATCCAAAAATAAATATATCAAATATAAGAGTTTTAATCGTGACGCGTCATCTCATGTACCTTGTATACCCTATCTGACAGTGATGTATTGCATATCGCCAGATAACTATCAACAATTAGGAACAACCCAGACCATTTAGGTCGGGTTACCTTAGCGCACTAATATTTAAAGAAAATAAAGGTTGCTCTTCAGGATGTACTCGTGCGTGGAATTAACGTTTGAGAGGATCCCTAAGTTACTGTTAAAATACTATTATTTGTGATTTAATTATTTTTTGGCTTCTGTTCGTATTTTGAATAAATATTTGGAACGTTCCCTTTGGAGGGGGGGGGGGGGGGGGGGGGGGGGAGAGAGGCGGTTAAATGAAGATTTGGTTAGTATAAATAACTGTAATAATAAATGTATTAATTTTATTATTTGCTAGGTATTATTTTTCCTATTTGATCATGACAGAACGTTTCAGAAATTTTCATAATAACTCTTCAATAAATATTATTTGTGAGGTATGCCATATTATTTTTACCTGAATAAATACGTGGTATACTAAGCAACAAAAAAGTGATATTGTACACTAGGTACCTAGTAGTTACATTGTATTCTCAAGGACCTTAATAGTAACATTGTACACTAATATTATAAACAGTTACATTGTTTGCAGTGTACGTCGAGTACTAGCAGTACTCTAATAATTGTGTTTGGATTGTGTACAAATATATCTCCATGTCATAATAGATCAAAATATGTATGTGTTATGCATTTTTTGCTAGTAACAATGATATTGTTCATAAAAGACATACACACCTGCCTTGGATCGTAAATGAGCGATGTCATTTCCAGGATTAAAGTGGATGCCACACTTGCATTTCCGGAAATTCTAGTTTATGATGTTTTTTGTTGTTCCCTCCTCCCCTCAGTTCGGCCTTTAAATCTAATCGCTTTTTTGTCTTTTTTAGCAATGGTATATTTTGTCATTGTCTGTTGACGCTATGGTATATTTTGTCATTGTCTGATGATGCTATGGTAAATTTTGTTATTGTCTGTTGATGCTGTGGTATATTTTGTCATTATCTGTTGATGCTATGGTAAATTTTGTCATTGTCTGTTGATGCTGTGGTATATTTTGTCGTTGTGTGTTGACGCTATGGTATTTTTGTCGTTGTGTGTTGACGCTATAGTATGGTTTGTCATTGTCTGTTGATGCTGTGGCATATCTTGTCATTGTCTGTTGACGCTATGGTATATTTTAATTGTCTGTTGACGCTATGGTATATTTTGTCCTTGTCTGTTGATGATGTGGTATAATTTGTCCTTGTCTGTTGATGCTATGGTATATTTCAATTGTCTGTTGACGCTATGGTATATTTTGTTATTGTCCGTTGATGTTGTGGTACATTTTGTCGTTGTGTGTAGATGCTATGGTATATTTCAATTGTCTGTTGACGCTATGGTATATTTTGTCATTGTCTGTTGATGCTTTGGTACATTTTGTCGTTGTGTGTAGATGCTATGGTATATTTCAATTGTCTGTTTACACTATGGTATATTTTGTCCTTGTCTGTTGATGCTATGGTATATTTTGTCGTTGTGCTTTAACGCCATGGTATGGTTTGTCCTTGTCTGTTGACGCTATGGTACATTTTGTCGTTGTGTGTAGATGCTGTTGTATATTTTGTTATTGTCTGTTTACACTATGGTATATTTTGTCCTTGTCTGTTTACACTATGGTATATTTTGTCCTTGTCTGTTGATGCTATGGTATATTTTAATTGTCTGTTGACGCTATTGTATATTTTGTTATTGTCCGTTGATGTTGTGGTACATTTTGTCGTTGTGTGTAGATGTTACTGTATATTTTGTCATTGTCTTTTGACGCTATGGTATATTTTGTCGTTGTCTGTTGATGCTGTGTGTTATAGTTTGTCCTTTTATGTTGAAGTTGTGATATCTGTTTCGACGCTAGGGTATAGTGTGCCCCGTTGTGCTTTATGTGTTTACGCTGTGGTACATACATTTTGACGTTATATATTTTTTATTTGAATGCTGACGCTGTGGTATATATTTCGAAGCTGTGGTATATTTTGTTCCTGTGCATTGACGCTGTGGTGCATTTTGACATCGTTTCTTGGTGCTATCTCTATATTAAGTTTCTAATTGTGTACTTTCAACGTTCCTTTATCGAAGTTAACTTTAATTCAAATTAAGTAAAATTCGAATCGGTTCAAAGGTCATTATGCTCCTTTAACTTAGACTACAACGTCAGACCAATTTGTAAATTAAGTATACCGTCTATAGGATAGCAAAAACTACCCAAAATCGTGACCTGATGATAGAAATATTATGGTGTACTTGTATATTAATCAACATGCGAGTCAGACGCTGTTTGGTTACGCTTTCCTGCAGATATAATGGTTTAAGCTTTGACAAAATACATCAATAACAACATTAGGAACATTTCCAAACGGTCTTTGAGATGATGACAAGATACACTGAACAAAAAAGTTTTTAATTTAATATAATACACAGATGTAGAACCAAAGAGTGCAAATTTAAAACATGAAGGGTATACCATTTCACTTCGTAACGTTACATTGATGCGGTTCCTCAGGTCATCTACCGACAGTGTTCGGTATCAAATACACTGAAAGTAAAGGTAGTGCAAGTACTGTTAGCTTTGTTTTCTCAAATTACAATTCATGAAGTAAAAAGTTTAAAATTAATTTATGGATAACAAGCATCTTTATAAAAGAAAGTCAAAATCGAATCTGGGTAGGAGAATGTACTTTGTTGTGGCAATAAATTTAATCTGGATTGTACAGACCTAGAAAAAAAAACAGTAAAAAAATGTTATCACTAAACGGAGTTAATCAGACTTTGTAAAGTCGATTGTAGGATCGGAAACAGACCCGAAAGAATGCCACTGCAGCGTTTCTCGTAAGCATTAAGACAACCCCTAAAAGATAGGAGTAATTCCGGCCCGGTCTGTTAATTACGGTAGGTATATAAGGGATCGACTTGGTCTCAGGTCACCATATCACTAGTTTAGACCTCACCATGAACGCTTGTTTACTCCTTTTCGTTCTGGGCCTTGCTGCCACGTATGTGGCGCCGAGTGCAGCGGACTTTGCAGAATTGGAGGGCAAGATTCAGGAACTACAAACTAGGATAGAGAACCTTGTGGCCGGTATTATTCCTGGAGGTAAGTTTTAACGCTATTTTATTTCTTTTTGTTTTATTTGTAATGTGTAGAACGGCGGGTTCATTGGCGTAAGGCTCGTTGGCTATGTTTTATTCCTTCTTTTCAGTTGCAGGACTATATAACATTTCAAATTAGCAAGCAAATATGCTACCCTGAAAAGTATCAGAATAGACTTCTATGAGTATAAATGTTTTGAATTGTTTGATAAGGAATATTATGTTTCTCCATTTCATGAAAAGACTTTTTGCTGGATGGTTTGACCCTTAAAATAAAAATGTGTAATATCAAAATATTTTAAGATAAAATAAATACAATACAAGAAACAATACAAAATGAATCTTGTGCTACAATAGAATAAGTGTTATCTTTCAATCAAATGGGCACTGATTTGTTGATATACTTGTCTCCAGTGTTTTAAAGTAAAATAATATCATTTTTAAATAATTTCCTTCGTGCTGTTTTTAGAAATTGGTGGACACCATGATTTAATCAAGTAAAAGCCAAAGTCTTGCTTGTTATTATCGTATCCCTGAAAAATGCATTAAATGAGGATTGGTTTCATTACTGTGTGTGTATTCACACTACTGATACATAGGATTCAGGGAAAATAACCGATCAAGCTAGGGAAAGCAATCGAGGTGAAGCTCAACTCTTCTGGTGATAAATTTAATCAACTATGAAACATGTTTCTCACACATAAATATATATATATACTGGTTCGAGAAATATGATTTTATTTAAACTTGCTTTCTTTTTTGTGACATCAAATGAGGCATTATAGTTTGCGATTGGTCAGCTACAGCTGTAGGATTGTTTTAATATATTTTCTCACGTCTATCGTAGCTTTATTAAATTAAAGGATGTTATCATTATTAGCACAGCGCCATATTTGATTTGACTAACCGTTATGATTATATATTCTATATAACATCAACCGGGATCAACACTTGATAAAGATAAACCATTTTAGTCAGCTTACCTGACAACACCCTACGAAGGGAGTTTCCTTTTCGGTATAGATTATTTGATTAATCAAACTGGATATAATTTTAATTCTAAAAAAATATCAACCCAATTAAATAAAACAGTAGCAAGACCTACTAAAATGACGAAATTAAACCGGTTCTCTACCCAAACTTGAATAATTTTCAAACGCGTTTCTATCGGACAACTATAACGGCACAAATCCGACAAAATAAATATAGGGAGAGAACCGGCTATTGAAATATGTGTGCGATGTTTTAATTAAAAGAGCAGGTATCCAAGACAAGAGTTTTGCCTACCTGTGCGTGATTTTCGGGTGTCGCCAGTAGACCAATGCTTCACTTTTCTTTGCTGTAGACGACGATGAGATAATTGAGGCGGCACACCGTAGGAAGAGAAGTGGTAGCTACTACTACGCTGCTGCAAGAGGTCCACCAGGACCCATGGGATCCACTGGTGAGTCTTACCGTCTTTTATTATCAACTTTCTTATCGCGGCTTTCTATTTTTTATTTTCATTTTGAAAGAGTTTTTAACTTATTAATAGCAAACACTAAGAAGTAAAAAATTCTAAATGTGAAATTACGAATTAGTATTTTGCGATAGAACACGTTTTTTATTTCAATAGAGGGAAATATGAAGAAATACGTTTACCAAGAAAACTTATTAAGCATAATGAGGACACAAAAAAAATGTTATACCCTAAATTCCTTAATGGGAATAACCAACAGCATCTTCCATTGTAAAACTCTTTATTCTTTATCTCCATAAGTCTGAAAATGTTCATCGAAGAGATATATTTTTATCATAACAACTGTTTAAAAATTTGTGCAAACAGTCTAACTAGTTTGTATGTAATAAAGACTGCTTCTCCTTTATGTACCTGGGTTTTAAGTCAAACTATCCTATCGAAAAATCATTTTAACATTTATCTACGAAAATTGATAATTCTATTTTCAATTTGACTTTTGACACTCCTCCTATTTTATCATTTTCCACTAAAATAGATTTCAAAGTTTCAGATATAATTATGAATATATAAATATTTACATATAATGGTAGAACTATTAATATTCAAGTTATATATTTTAAAATGTATGTAATATATATCCATCTGCAAATTTCATCAGGTCGGTTAGATTAATATTAAAAACAATAGGTTATTATATAATTCAGCCTGTTTATCCTCTGAAAAGGATGATTGCAGTAATTGAAGTATTGCAGTGAAACAGAAGCATCAACACAATCGATTATAGAAATGCTAACATTTCTGTTAGCCAATGATGATAAACATTGCCCCTAATATATACTATTTATGTTTAATCGAGTAATAATAACCAGCCATATGTTTTAATATAAACTGAATTTATTGTTATTTTAATGGTTAAGGGATTTATCAAAACATCTTGAAAATAAATAAGATATTGGTGGGTTTTTTATCATAGAAAATCATCTTTATTTACACCATTAAACTTCTCATTCATAGGTAGACTTAGAATATAAATTGAAGAGAGTCTATCCATTTCAATAACAAAGATGGAAAACTGCATTAATTTCATATGTTTACTAAAACTGAAAAATGGACTCATTGCTTGGTAATGATACATGCAGGATATTTGCATTAAGAGGTAGGATATATTGTATGGTGTAAATAAAAGGAATTAAAACAGTTTTATAAAATGTGGTAATTGAAAACAATTTTAATCGTATTTGGGAATGTTCATAATGAAAACTATCTGGAGATTTGATATTGGTTCGTGTATCTAAAGCAGATTTGTTTGTGAGTATGTGTCTCAAGACCTTTTTCATCTCCTTGTAGGTGCTCCAGGAGCGCCAGGTTCCACCGGCGCTGCTGGTCCACAGGGAGCCACCGGCGCCCAGGGAGAAAAGGGAAGTCAAGGAGAGCACGGAGCCCCTGGAGTTCCCGGGTCCGATGGACCTCACGGACCACAGGGATACAGTGGTGATGTCGGGGCCCCAGGACCCGCTGGCCCACCTGGCCCACAGGGAGATCAGGGATATACTGGTTCCACTGGTGAAAGGGGATTCCCTGGAATGCCTGGAGAGGAAGGGCCCTCCGGACCTCAAGGACAGACGGGACAGGATGGTCCAGCCGGTCCCCCGGGAGCGCCAGGAATGGATGGAGAGAAGGGTGATCAGGGAGCAGAGGGAGCTCCTGGTGAAACTGGTTCAACTGGACCTATGGGACCAAACGGACCAACCGGGCCACAAGGTCCACAGGGACCAAATGGCTCACCAGGACCACAGGGAAGACAAGGATATCCAGGACCACGAGGGCCTGCAGGATCACAGGGCGTAGCAGGACCACGTGGATACACGGGCGCCGCAGCTGCACCGGTATACGCATATAGGGCGCAGGCCCCTAAATATTACGCTGCACCAGCAGCGACTTACAAACAAGCTCCAGCTCAAGCCACTAATAAGGGATATTAGTTTATTGACAATGATTTTTTTTTCTATTCCAAAATCATCGTTTCATTCATAGGTTCTATTCCATCGCTAAAAGATTCGTAGCACAGTCAACATGATATTTTCTTTAATTTTCAATAAATCCCTATCAGAAGAATAAAATGTGTCAAAACTTACATGTGATTGTGAATGACAAAAATAAATTAAACAAAAAATGATATTGTGTCTTTTGTTTTTACGGTTGTCATCAAGAAATGTAATAATGGGTGTTACAGAACACAACAGGAGAGCAGTGTCAAGAAAACCATAACTCCGTCTCCTCGTGAGTTTGTTTTAAATGATATTTTCCTCTTCTTGAAATAAGAAAAAAGACAAAATGGGTTTCAGGTTATGATAATCTCTGTCGATAAAGTGAAAACAAACCCTTCAATGTGTATAAATAGCGTACACTGTTATATATGATATATACATATAGTATATGTATTACTAGTACACTGTTATGTATGATATATGCATATAGTATATGTATTACTAGTACACTGTTATATATGATATATACATATATTATATGTATTACTAGCACATTGTTATATATGATATATACATATATGTATTACTAGTACATTGTTATATATGCTATATACATATATTATATGTATTACTAGTACATTGTTATATATGAAATATACATATATTATATGTATTACTAGTACATTGTTATATATGCTATATACATATATTATATGTATTACTAGTACATTGTCATATATGATATATACATATATGTATTACTAGTACATTGTTATATATGAGATATACATATATTATATGTATTACTAGTACATTGTTATGCATGATATATACATATATTATATGTATTACTAGTACATTGTTATGCATGATATATACATATATTATATGTATTACTAGCACATTGTTATATATGATATATACATATATGTATTACTAGTACATTGTTATATATGCTATATACATATATTATATGTATTACTAGTACATTGTCATATATGATATATACATATATGTATTACTAGTACATTGTTATATATGCTATATACATATATTATATGTATTACTAGTACATTGTTATATATGAAATATACATATATTATATGTATTACTAGTACATTGTTATATATGATATATACATATATTATATGTAGTACTAGTACATTGTTATGTATGATACATACATATAATATATGTATTACTAGTACATTGTTATGTATGATATATACATATATTATATGTAGTACTAGTACATTGTTATATATGATATATACATATATGTATTACTAGTACATTGTTATATATGATATATACATATACTATATGTAGTACTAGTACATTGTTATTTATGATATATACATATATGTAGTACTAGTACACTGTTATGTATGATATATACATATAATATATGTATTACTAGTACATTGTTATGTATGATATATACATATATTATATGTAGTACTAGTACATTGTTATGTATGATATATACATATATAATATGTATTACTAGTACACTGTGATATATAATATATACATATATTACATGTATAACTAGTACATTGTTGGAAAGTCAGATATTTACGTCCATCAAACAGTAAAAAAAAAAAAAAAATCAGTAAATAAATTATATCAATTTCTACTGTTTAATAAGTACGGTATTTGCTATTTTCTATTCACTGATTTCCAAGCGGCTGATTTTCTATAAACATATGTAGATGAATATATCAGAGTTCTTCACCGGTCATGAAATATGAACGATATTTAACGGGAAAACGTTTAACGCCCTCTATATGCTAATATCATTGAATTTTTCGTGAACGCTTGAACTTCTTCACTTGAAACATACTCGAAAAATATGAGGTTATCCCTTAATACTCGACTCTTACTTTCAGAGGGGGTTATCGACATAGTAGGCATTTTGGCATCTGTATAACAGACAATTATTTTGAATTATAGATATGATGTATTATATAAGAACCGTTCACCACGTGTATGGCTCCGAAATTGTGCTACATAAGTAAACTAATCTTTGCTCCACAACAAAAGTCGATTTAAATAATACATAACCTAAAACTAGATAATTGGCCGCTGCCTATTTTCATTTTCGGTATGGAACCTTAGGCGGTGCTTTGACCCCGTCATTTAGACAGCCACTTATGGCTATTTTCATGTCTTTATATTTCGCGTAGAAAAATATAATGTGTTACAGGTTTTTTAATGAACTATATTTTTCATTTATGAAATAATTTGCAACAATAAATCATTGTATATGGTGTTACCTGTAAAGCATGTTTTGGCCAACAGGAAAAGGTGCTTCCTAACTTGTGTACCAAGGCATGTTTTCAGGGTCGGTCTAAATTCATATATACTTATATTATATGTTTGGTACAATGTAAATACAAAACAGTGACGAAAACAATATTTTAAACCTTTAACATATACAGCACGTCAACAAAATCTGTATCTTACAACGTTTAAACACCACAGAGAAAGAAACAATAAAATTAATGTGTATACACTTTTTTACAGCATATCATTATGGTGAAAGAGTAACTGAAAATAAATCCGTGCTTGATGTCTCCTGTAAGACAAGGAGACATTATCGTATAATTTGTAAAATGGCTGTCTACATGACATCCTCAGACACTTCAATTATCGAGTTGTTGACTCATGATATCATAACGCAAACATATGTTGGATGTTTTTATATTTAACAGTTTTGAAACAATTTAAGATTAACATTGGAAAGTCTGAAACAATTTTTAAACTTTTAGATAACCCGTTACTTGAATAATTTACCAGAATTTTGAAAACTGACAAATAAAAGAGCTTTATCTTATATCTATGTTAATTAAAGATTTTTTTCTGATTTTTTTCCTTAATAAGTTAATTGGGAAACGATTTGAAACAAGTATTCGAATATTACATTAGAAATGAGTTATGTTACTTTAGATTAAACAATAACACAATCTAATATCACTTACTTTATAAATATATAAATATCCATTGTAAGAATACAAAACTAATTGTGCTTTCCGGTGTGCTTATTTTGATAATATTCCTACCGTTTGTCCAAAACAGTGTTATCTTCAAAAGTCGACCAAACTTCTAATTTTAACAGTTCTTCCATTCCGAAATTTGTATTTGAGTTAACGATTTGCACAGATGATACCCCGACGCTGTTCAGGAGATATAAAGCTAGGATTGTAGATATATTGTAAGAGGATACTTGAATCCTTGTAATCTATTTCGCTAAGCTAACCAGTCTTAGAACCACCATAGTCCATCTGACTTCAATAAGTGTCTCAATATCTGAGTTTTTGAACATTATATCAAATATTTTAACAAGTCTTCCATACTTTTATTATTCTCGACATATTGTACAAGATAATATAAATGCATCTAATAAGAATCACATTTATGAGGATATTTCCACTAGTTTTGTCGACAGGAAACGTTGTAACCATAGAAAGAAACAGAATACCGAAGGGTAAACAAAACTGGACTTGGAACTCAATATCGATAAAACTCGCAAAATAAATGTACACATAGACCATAGAAAAAGAAATATATATATATATAGAAAGAATTACCAGGTGGAGCGGAGACACATTTGAAATAAAGTTCAAGTCCGAGGAATGGTACGTTCTTGTTGGGTTCAAACATTTATCTTTACACTTTATGCTTGAACACAAATAAAAGTCGATTAAGATTTATAAACAGTAACCGATTTATCTGTTTGTTTAGTAAATTTATATTTTATATGTATACATTATCGGGTATTTCATAATTGTTTCGTTGGTACCCCAGTTTACGCTTTGAGCAGCTGTTATTACTTGCATTTTGAGCTAGATATACATAGCGGGTGCTACCGATAAAAAAATATGTTTACCCTTCCGGAACGCCTGGGCCCGTATTCATTAAACCGTCCTCGTGCTCAAGCATGCATTCTGTGCTCATACCAACTTGCGTGTAACTCGCTAAAATCATGTCAAAAGATAAAAAAAACAAAAACAAAAACAAAAAAAAACAAAAAAAACCTGAGAATGGTTTCATGAATAAGGGCTCTGGTCTTATTCTCCTTGTTCTTTTAGTTAGAATAATGGTTTCGTTGATATTAAGGTAATTTCTTATTGAACTTTTAGAAAGTATCATTACAAAGAATCATTTCATTCTCCCGGAACTTGGTTTGATGTTTATTTCACACTTTTGCAACTTCAGCATGACAACTCCCAGCGTCATCCTCGATATCCAGGGGTTACGCTCACTTTCGCTCTCTACACTCCTGGAATATGTCAAAGCAAAATTGAAGGCACGAAGATTGCTGTTTGATTGGTCTCGGGTAAAAAACTGACCAATTGCTAGGCTGATACCTGTCCTTTGAAGATTACAAAGGAGAGACGCCCGACTTCAAAGCCTGTCAAATTTTGCCGTTACGTGACCGCGAGATTCTTTTCAAAGGATCGGACTATAGTCTTCTTGTCTCATCAACAAGGTGGCGCACACCGAGCCTTCAATTTTGCTATGACATATTCCAGGGGTGCATAGAGAGAAAATGAGCGTAGACCCTGGATATCGAGGATGTCCCAGCGTCGGTGATGATATTTCATCGATAGAAACAAACCTTTCTAAAGGCGAACATTTGTAAATATTATGTTCTTATCTTAATATATTAGTTTATATTCCGTCTTTGCGTATTGCAGAGTTATCTTCTCTTGTGAGCGGGTATTGATTGTTACGTCATTGGTTTGTGAGAGTAACGTCATCAATTTTTGAGAAAACAACGTATTTTTCTCACACAAACCAATGACGTCACAATCAATACCTGCTCACAAGAGAAGATAACTCAATACGCAAAGACGGAATAAGTCACACGAAACTATCATAAAATTCAAACTAATAACAAATACTTTGCCATGTTTTCAACTAAATTCAACAGGCAATGATTGGAGACTTCTACTCTCACATGACAAAATGTATTCATTCAAATATTAAATCACTTCCTTGATATTTTCACGCTAATTTACTCCAAAAAAACAACAACCGCAAACAGTCTATACGATGTCACAGAAACTGAAACACATTACTGTAACAGCGTATCGCGATCGTGTGACAAGGGCTTGGCACAGATTCCGAACCCCACGGTTGAGAATAAGACAAATATTGATGTTGTTTAAATGAACATTCTATCATGATGTCTACTGACTTCTGCATCACAATAACAGAAAAAAGAAACAAAAATGAAAACTGTCGACATTGTATCGTAGTGTATCCTAGTTCACTTTGTGACTAATCTCACCCTGAGTGATGGTATTCTTGTGTGGTACCCGAGGCTTGCGTTGAGACAATGATTAGACATTTAAGAATTTCACCCCAGGGGTTTCGATTTCTCTAGCGTACATTCAACCGTAAGGAAAGCATTTTCTTCTATCCTATCAATAATGTTGTTATCCTGATCTGTACAGTACTTCTCTAGTGCAAAACTGATTTTGACGTCATAAATATATTGTTCCTGCGACATCATCGTAATGTATCTTCCCACTTAATGTCTGCAATACCCTAAGGGTTACAGAGAAACTACCTTAGTTGTGAGTGAAATCTTGATCAGATAGCGATAATGGTGTGACATATTATCCAACAGATCCTTGCTATTTTAGATATTTCAATTATTTCTCAATCCGAGAATCATAATATATATACGTGTATGTATATTGACAACAATTATTATATCAGAAATACTTGTTTTAAAATGTAACTATTGTAATATATTGTTTTCGTTTTAAGAGGATGGTAAATTGAGGAAGAAGAGACACATTTACATGGCTGGACCCGCAGGTCCACCCGGAAGTGTAGGTAAGTACACACATATACTCACATACATAATTACAAAGCTGGACTCCTAGGTCCTCCCGGAAGTGTAGGTAAGAACACACATATACTTCCATACATCATTACAAAGCTGGACTCCTAGGTCCTCCCGGAAGTGTACGTAAGTACACACATATACTTCCATACATCATTACAAAGCTGGACCCATAGGTCCTCCCGGAGGTGTAGGTAAGTACACACATATACTTCCATACATCTTTACAAAGCTGGACTCCTAGGTCCTCCCGGAGGTGTAGGTAAGTAAACACATATACTTCCATACATCATTACAAAGCTGGACCCCTAGATCCTCCCGGAGGTGTAGGTAAGTACACACATATACTACCATACATCATTACAAAGCTGGACTCCTAGGTCCTCCCGGAAGTGTAGGTAAGTACAAACATACACTCACATACATCATTACAAAGCTGGACCCCTAGGTCCTCCCGGAAGTGTAGGTAAGTACACCTACACTCACATACGTCCCCACATAGCTGGACCTCGGGGTCCACCCGGAAGTGTAGGTAAGTACACCTACACTCACATACGTCTCCACATAGCTGGACCTCCATGTCCACCCGGAAGTGTAGGTAAGTACACCTACACTCACATACGTTCCCACATAGCTGGACCTCCATGTCCACCCGGAAGTGTAGGTAAGTACACCTATACACACATACATCTTTACAAAGCTGGACCTCCATGTCCACCCGGAAGTGTAGGTAAGTACACATATACACTCACATACATCCTCGCATATATGTAGCTGGAACACAGCTCCACCCGGACGAGTAGGTAAGTACAAACATACACTCACATGCATCCTCGCATACATGTAGCTGGAACACAGGTCCACCCGGACGAGTAGGTAAGTACAAACATACACTCACATGCATTTTTACACCAAACCACAGGGACTTGCCACGTTCCTATGACCCAGAATGAAAACAATACCTCATGGTCCGACCCCCAGCTCACTTACTATTGACAATAATAAGTTATCTGGGGGTCCGAACATCAAGCCAAGCCAAAGTTTCACGAACATTCCGTTACTTAAGGAAATTCCTTATTTCTACATAATTTATAGAAAAAACAGTTACTGAGATAAATTTAATTTAAGTTGCCTTAAATCTAGAAATGCTTTCCTCTGAGAGTAAAAAAAAACAAACACAAAAACAAAAACAAAAACTGAAATTGGGAACCCTTATTATTCTTTATCTTTAATTCTATATTTCATTGCTAGAAATTCATTTATTTTTTTTATTATTATCAGCCATGAAATAGTTATTCAGACGTAAAAGGATGTTTTTCTAACTCGTATATGATCGAGAGGGATACTATTCATAAATATAATAATATCAGAAAAATAGAATGTTTAGCTCAATAATTACGGTACATGTAATAGGGATATGTTCACATCCGAACAACTTCCGCTGTTTATTTATGTTTAAGATATCCCAAATCCGAAAACTTATCTTTATTATTTCTTGAGTGATTTCTGTTGTCTAGTGTTATTCAACATTTTAATATTTGACAAAAGTTCCTATCATATTTATTTATTTTTTTACATTCTTTATCTGTATGAATTGTTCAAGTTGTTAAAACGAGTGTTTCTTAAATTACAATTACATTGTATTATTTAACTTGTTTGCATTGAATAATAAAAACTGTATTTGATCTGCAGGAGCACCCGGACACCCAGGACATCCAGGGACCGCTGGTCCAGCGGGGCCTACCGGCTACCCAGGTTATACTGGAGAAAAGGGAGATCAGGGCGCTGTAGGAGCTCCTGGACCGGTCGGCGAGCATGGCCCTCAGGGACCCAAGGGGGATACAGGTTCAGTAGGCGAGGTCGGGGCCGTCGGACCCCAGGGATCCAAAGGACTGGTAGGAGGGCAGGGAGAGCAGGGAGATGCTGGTGAACAGGGAATGCCGGGACCACACGGACCCCAGGGAGAAGAGGGAGCTACAGGAAACATGGGATCACAAGGTCAGTGAATAAGTGGTAAATCTCATGTCACCGTTAGGGGCAAGCCGGCGCTTCAGTTGCGACCAGACGGCCATTGAAGTCGGACATTGTGAAAAGTGTCCAAGATTACCCGGATGTTCCCTATATGACGGTATATTTATATATCTATATTTATTCAAAGGGGGGATACTCAACCTAGGTACAAATTACCAGCATTGCTTTGAGTCGAGTACTAAAACTAAGGTATAATTAGCCACGTAAAACTAATTTGATTGGGTGGCGCAGTGGATAGCGCATTCGCCTTTCATAAAGACGATCCGGAGGCATTGGGTCACCTGCCCGTCTACGTGAGTTTTCACCGAGTGCTCTGGTTTCCTCCCCTATTAGGACCCTCTGTGCGCTCCCATCCTGGCTAACAAGAGTGATTTATATCAGTTGCGATAACTTGTTTTGTAATTGTTGTAAATTATAAAATTTACCTATTTATATATAAACACATTTAAATGAAGGTTATTTCTCTGGTTTATTTAGAGAACTACAATTCTCGCAATTATTTCGTTTGAACAAAGGGCTCTCCTCAGCAAATAGTGAATTAACAGCAGTGCAACAGATTTCCAGGTGATATATCTTTAGATTATTGTCATAATGCAAATGGGGATTTTTTATACAAGAGGTGAAAAATAGTATTTGTAATTTTTGATTCTCAGATACATCAAGAATACCAGTAGCTTTTATTGGTATAATGTCTATACTTGTTGTTATACTCCAAAACATTCAAACATCTTAAAATCATACTTTTACTGTTTTCTAGTAAATAAACGGCATAACTCACAAAAAAGTTGTCCTGAACACGTTATATATAATTTGATCAGACATTTATCACAAAATTTACAGTCGACTACAGCTATATAATTTGATTAGACATTTATCACAACATTGCCAGTCGACTACAGCTATATGATTTGATTAGACATCTATCACAACATTGCCAGTCGACTACAGCTATAATTTGATAAGACATCTATCACAACATTGCCAGTCTACTACAGCTATATAATATGATTAGACATTTATCACAGCATTGACAGTCGACTACAGCTATATAATTTGATTAGACATTTATCACAACATTGACAGTCGACTACAGCTATATAATGTTTAAATTGTCAGGTTACCCCGGAATCCAGGGAGATAAGGGCCTCATGGGGTATACAGGGTACCCAGGAATGGCTGGTGAGCCTGGATCAATGGGACCCCCAGGAGCAGTAGGTGAGCCAGGGCCAATGGGAAACAGGGGCCCACATGGACCTCAGGGATCCATGGGTGAACCGGGTAAACCTGGACGACAAGGACCCCAAGGTACACCGGGAAAGCGTGGATACGCTGGAGCACCAGGGCCAGCATACGCCGTTCAGTATAGGAGCGCACAAGCTCCCCGGCCTGCCCCATACAAAGGATAATTAATTAAAAATATCTAAATTAATGTGATCGATATTCCACTGTTTGTGTTAAAGAAAACAAGTTCCATATTCCATCAAATTAGTTCTGTAAAATTTTGTTTTGTATGTTTGAATTCTTTCCATCAGCGTCATCCACTATAAATCATGTTCGAAATGGAATAATGTGAAGTATTTAAATCGAGAAAACAAGTACTTGTGATGTGAATAAATAAAGTGGGTTTCTTGATAAATTGTTGGTCATGTTTTTCTTTTCATCGTATTACGACATTATAATAGTGGCAATTACATTTACATGGTTTTATTTCGGTAGAACCGTTTGATCGAAATGAAACAAGCTGGGTAACTCCCCTTTGTTGTTTGACTCGCTAGGTGGCGCCCACCAGTAGAGATGTCTTGATAAAAAACATAAAGTTGAGGTAAAAAGCGAAGCAGTTTTGACTTTAAAGCGATTTCTGGCCTTTTTAATTGTTAAATTCGTAATCTGCGCTAAAGGAAGTTCGCATATATGATATTTCAAATTCATTCGACAACTGGTATAGCAGAAATAGCGTAACAAAGAGAGTTATAAAGCCGCACTTTTCACAATAAAGTGAGTGAATATCTACTTTGTGTGCTATTTATGTTGAAAATTGACCATTTTGAAGCAAACATCATGTAACAAAATACTATTTTATTTTTGAAGGCCTCCGCATTCACCAACCAAACAAATATTAGGTATGCTTAAACATTGTCATATACCAGTGGTCATTCTGAGAAAGGATTTTTTGGTTGTCACATGTGGGGACTTTCATCTATCCAAAAAACATTATATGTTGGTTATTTCTGCATAACAACGCAATTGTATTGCTATGGTGGACCATCTACGCATGCGCAATGAAAAAATCTGCACCCTAAAAGATAGCCCTTATTAACAAATATGATGTTTGTAAAAGAATAGTTAATAAATTGATATTAAACTTTTCCTTTGTATGAAGCCGATAATGACCCATAACGCCCCAAGTCTTTTAGTGCCTGACGTTACATCTCAAAATGTCACCGGGCGACTCGCCTAGTATGTTTACTACTCTCTTTATACATGGAAATATCAGATGTCATGATATCTAATGCCTCCCGTCTCTTATACAGATTACATGATCTCTAGGTGATGCTATTATGTTATACACACATTTGCTTTGTGAGTTATCTCCCGTTGACTAATCGATATGGTTTTCACTAAGTAAAATGTTAAACATATGCGGTTTGTTTTGGTGCAGTTTTAAATACAACCTTTGGTACACATTCATCTAATCATATGATTGAAGCAATGCCATGGATACCTTTTAGGTTTATAAATACTGCCGTTTATCCCGCCGGGGTTTGATCTGTAAACATTTTGTCCACTTCCGGTGCTTCCCCGTGCGTGGAAGCCTCCTGGGAAAATTAAGGCGGCATACCGTATTCAAAAACATGATAGCAAACCCTACGGTGTCTTTACTTATTACAGTTTACTTGTGAAATATCATACATTCTCCATTTGATAAAAACATATCATAATGCAGTGAAGATATACGAAATATTGTATCTTCACATGTGAAGACGTCACTCATAGTATTGTCCAATCTGAACGGGACATTCTATTCTCTGCGTAGATTTTCAGTTTCAAGTTGAGATGAAGTGACGGCAGAGTAAGTGGTTGTGTGTTACACCTATGCAGCATACAGAATTGTTTTTACATAACTGCACTATAAATATCTCTTTTACTTATCTAACACTTTTCTAGAAATTCGATGTAGGAAGCATTTATTTAGTTTAGTTTAGTTTAGTATCGTTTAACGTCCTATAAACAGCTATGCTCATTTAAGGACGGCCTCCCCTGTGTGCAAGATGCATGCGTGTGTAATTTGGGAGGCTGCAATATGTTCGTGTTTGTCTCCTTGTGGTAGGGCGGAACTGATGCCGACTTTATAGTGCTACCTCACTGAAACATACTGCCGAAGACACCCAGCAGGACACCACACCCGGTCACATTATACTGACAACGGGCGAACCAGTCGTCCCACTCCTAAATTGCTGAGCGTTAAGCAGGAGTAATAACTACTATTTTTACAGACTCTGGTATTTCTCAGCCAGGGGACAGAACCCAAAGCCCGCCTCACAGGGGCGAACGCTCAACTATAGGCCAAAAGTGAGGCATCGTCAAAGAAGACATCATGAAGGAGACAGTTGTTTAGAGAGAAGAGAAAAGACAAAATCCCGAATTTAGTCGCCTCTTACGAACATGCAATGGGCGCAGCAGGTACAATTCGCACGCCCTACCTGCAGGGACAGCTTCAAATTTTTTTAATCGTAAATCTATGTTGAAAGCCAAACTTACCGCACCAGAACGACAATTTCGTCCATTCAGGACCTCATCAGTGGCAGGAAATGTAAAGGGGAATAATATACATGGGTGTTGGAATCCCAAATAGAAATGTAGCAAAATAGAGACGGGTCCTATAAAAACCATTTCTTACGGCATAAATTGGAAGGAAACTCTTTTTTTATAACAGTCAATACAAAGTGCAATAGTTTAATTGATGTTTAATGTATAAAACATCACAATGCAACAAATCAATAAATATATAGGTATATCGATGTTGCAAAATAAACCTATCTAACTTTATTTAATACGATTACAAGAGTTAGAGCTGAAATTCAACAGAAATATTATGAATTTCATTGGTTGCTGTTGTAGTAGACACCATTAAAATTAGCGTCCCAACTATTTCGTCGGAGGGAGTTACTCCCCTTGCACTACTATTACCGTAACTACACATAGTATTCAATCAAATTTCCTGAAATGAAAACTAAAGTGAAGGATAAAATGGTCATCATTAAATTATTTTTCCTTGAAAAGAAACTTTTATTCAAACCTTCCTGAGAAATCATCTCTATTAAGAGGTCACCTGTATTCAAAGCAACCATTAATTTACAATCCTTGTTGCTGTCACTTTTCATGAGAACTTTAACTTGTAATGAATAGACAACTTACAATGAGAGACTTCTTTAGGGAGCTCCTGAATGCGTTCGTCAATACAGGTTTGCTTATATAAAACTCAGCGACTCACGAAACAACATCAACAATGAATGACCATACCTTCATTTCCTGAAGACGACCTGAGCTCTATTTTCTAATGTTGCACAAACTGTTGCCTCCGCTTCCTGGCGCACTTTGAAAAGGAGCACACCATCTTTGGTCAGTACTGTGATATGGAACTACACAAATTTCATTACAGTTAACAGTTAAAGCTATTGTCTTTCGGTGCTGGAGAGGACGATGTCTTTGGGCGTCAACACTGTATCATATAGTAAAAGTATAAACTCCCGCCTAAGGAAATAGTCGGGTTGTTACTATTTTAACTGATTGCGGTGTGGAAGCTTCCCCGTTGACAATGGTTCTAAAATATATGTATTATATTATATATCTTTAACATCCATATGTTCACGTTTGGAGATTTCTCTCAACGGGTGATAAAACGTAAGCATTCCTCTACCGCGTATTTTTTCTATTTTTACAGTAAGACTTGCAAAAAGTATTCAATCTGAGTACCCCTGCGCCACTGTCAGAAAGATTTAACAATGCAGTTGAAACTTCTTTTCCGTTATGAACGTAGCTTTTGATAAAAATAAGCATCTGAATTAGTGTGAGTATTAAGAGTTCTTTGTTTTTTAATAAAAAATAAAAACGAATATTTCCAATTGATGAAATGATGTTTGACTTGAAAATTTAGAAATATAAAGCAATCGACAGACAGCTTTTCTGCTTCAAGGAGAAAATATTATAATTATTAAATGATTAGATGAGAAAAATCGATAATTTTTATCTCTTAAATTCTAAAAGATTTCAGGAGCTAATATAAAGTGCATGTGTAAAGAACACTAGATAATGCGGACTTCCATCATCTATAAAAAATCAATTATAACTGTATAAACAACTGAACTCAAATTAAACACCAAAATGCACTAACAGGATCCGATGAGACACCAACATGAAAAGGAAAAATACGATTTACCTGTATAAACATGAGGACGAGACAGGTGTACTGGTGTGCGTTTCTTAATCTAAGTTGGAATCCTCGAATCTTTTATCCTGAATTACACCAGAATGTAGGAATACAATGTACAGAACGTGTCCCTGTCAAAGAGGATCAATTCAGCGGCATAGGTCAGCTTTACTTCACACATGACTGTAGTACCTTTATGGTGCATTTATTCTGTCATGATAAGAACATATCAGATTTTCAGTTGTTGGGGGGGGGGGGGGGGGGGGGGGGGGCCTACCATCACCGATGAAGGACGAAACAGCTGTATGATTGTACAGTGTACATTTGATATTTATTTTTGGCATACTGTCCTCATTTGTGTATGTTGCGTTCATCATTTCAGCGTCATAAATAGCTTCATATATTATTTACCTAACGATATAAATGGCTTCATACATTATATACCTAACGATACAAATAGCTTCATACATTATATACCTAACGATATAAATGGCTTCATACATTATATAACTAACGATATAAATAGCTTCATACATTATTTACCTAACGATATAAATAGCTTCATACATTATTTACCTAACGATATAAATAGCTTCATACATTATATACCTAACGATATAAATAGCTTCATACATTATATACCTAACGATATAAATAGCTTCATACATTATATACCTAACGATATGAATAGCTTCATACATTATATACCTAACGATATAAATAGCTTCATACATTATATACCTAACGATATAAATAGCTTCATACATTATTTACCTAACGATATAAATAGCTTCATACATTATATACCTAACGATATAAATAGCTTCATACATTATATACCTAACGATATAAATAGCTTCATACATTATTTACCTAACGATATAAATAGCTTCATACATTATATACCTAACGATATAAATAGCTTCATACATTATTTACCTAACGATATAAATAGCTTCATACATTATATACCTAACGATATAAATAGCTTCATACATTATTTACCTAACGATATAAATAGCTTCATACATTATATACCTAACGATATAAATAGCTTCATACATTATTTACCTAACGATATAAATAGCTTCATACATTATATACCTAACGATATAAATAGCTTCATACATTATTTACCTAACGATATAAATAGCTTCATACATTATATACCTAACGATATAAATAGCTTCATACATTATTT